TTCTCCTATAAGCTTTCAAATCATATTTTGAAGATCTCCAAATATTCTTAGATATTGTACAAATATGGGTAGGTAAGTTTCAAGTTCAATAGTTACATGGCATTATTTATATCAAGTGAATAATTAATCTAAACAGTAACGGAAAACTCTATTATAAAATTTTTTTTGTTTTTTTTTATAGTCATTTAATATCTTTCCATACTTAGTTGGATATTTTCTCTCATCCTGTAAAAGGATTTTTTAATCTATGTAAGGAAAGCGAAAAAAATGGAAAAATACTAAATATATATTCAATCGGTAGAACAGACGAGTCAAGCATCCTCTTAAACAGAACACTTTTCTCAAACGTATTCTATTGTACTAACTATTCTATCAATTTACTTGTCAGGAACCGAAATGTCCACCTTTTTTGACTGGTTTATTGCCGCATCATGGAGATTGCACAAAATTTGTACAATGCGCGCATGGTGTAACTTATATTATGAATTGTGGTCCTGAAACAGTTTTCAATCCTGTTATTGGGATATGCGATCGGCCCGAAAATGTCAAAGGTTGTGAAGGTAATCATTAAATAATTATGTATTTGATGAAATATCTTATTAGCACAATATTGTAAAAACATTATTTATTTAAATCTATTTTACTACATAGACGCTTTTAAATTTGATAAAAGTGACAAATTTTCACCTCCAAATTTAAACTTTGGACACGATAAGGCAAAATATATTGAAGTAAAAATTTCATGTCCTACGGATTTTACGGGATTTTTACCTCATCCGGAAACGTGCAAAAAGTTTCTTCAATGTACAAATGGTATTACTTATATAATGGATTGTGGTCCGGGAACAGTTTTCAATCCTGTTTCTACGGTTTGTGATTGGCCCTACAATGTGCCCAGTTGTAAAACAGGTATGTTTAGTGTAATAAATTAATAGATAATATAAACTATTAATTTTGACAATTAAGTATTTTTTCAAAGTAATTTGCAATTATGTTTCTATAAAAATAAAGTACATAAATTTAGATGCAGTGATTAAATTCATTTTAATGAATCCTGTATATTCTGTATTATTTAACAATTAATATAATAGATGAAATCAATTTATTAATCAAATTACTATGCATTATTTTTATATATAACAGGATCTGCGATTAATTAATCCATTTAAAGGTATTAAGGCAAAAATAAATAATACGCATAATTTTTGGATTGTAGATAAATTCGGTGATAAAGTACACAAAATAGAAGACAGTACTTGGGTTCGATTTGATAGAATTGACGATCATAAAACTCATAATTCTCGTGCTTATGTTTCTCGACCGGAATATAGTACGACAATAAGTACGGTACTTAAACCAACTTGGAGACCATTTATGACAAGTCAATCCTGGATACCAACACGGACAACTCCGAGACCACTTTATAATCGTTATGAACAAACTGTAAATTATCATAATCGTTATCAGTCACGTCCAGTGGAAGAAAACCAATACCAAGATTATACATCACATCATCCAGAATGGACGTCAAGTAGTAAAAATTTCGAACAACCTTCTGATAGTAATTATAAATTTCAAAATCACTCGACTAGGCAATGGGCGAGAGATTATAGAACTGGTCAAGATTCACAACAACCTAATCATCCAGGAGGATCATGGTCAGGTGACATAAATCAAGATCGTCGTTATGGTCATGAATATTATCTTCCCGGTCAACATTATCACTATCATCATCATCATCATTATTATGGATCTACATCGAATCCACCAGCGAATCCAAGTTGGAACTCAAGTAGTCCTATTGCTACTATTGGTAATCGAAAATATGATCACGGATATCACGAAGTTTATACTTCAAACGCAAGTGATGGTCATTGGCGTCCCGATCACGATCATCATTATAATCATCATTACGTTGAACATGCTACATCGAGTGAAACAGACCAAAAGCAATTTCAACCGTATTTTCCTACTAAGGAACACAATGAAGATGATACACAGTTTTATAGCAAACATAACAAAACATCATTTTATGCCCCTGTTGATGATAATTTGCCATCAAGTCGAAGAATCGATCATGATCACTTGCTCCCAAATAGGCAAGATCATAGCGGGACGAATCCTAGACTTCATCATCCCGGCTTCAATAATACTTCTCCACTCGTTGGAAATGTTTTCTTAAATAGTGATAATAAATTTGCTGCGAACCAAAACGGATCGCTACAAAATGGACTATCTTCTCCTTGGGCAGGACAAGAAAATATCGTTTGGAATCAACATAATGGATCTCGTTTCAAACCGAATACGCGGCATGATCAACAAAATCAAGAAGTACAGACGGAAGTTCGAACACGTCCATGGCATCAAGGTAGATAAAATTAATATAAAATTTATTATTATTTCCATAAAATGTTGATTTATTTTTATATATTTTTATATGTAAAATTATGATAATATATATATATTTTTTTAAAAATTAGTTATCAAATTTGTTTATTATTTTAATAATAAAATGTTAACTTATTCTTCTTATAAATAAAATTATTCTGATAATGTATATATATATATATAAATAATATTTTTTTTATGCAATTGTTATATAAAAAATGTTTTATTTGCTTTTTTTAATTATATTTTTGTATTATACGTGTACGATTATTTCTTATCAATTTTTAAAATACTATTAAAAGATTGGTTATAATTAGTATATAGTATATAGTTCAATAACACAATTTAGAGCAAATGTACACTATTGCAAAATTTATTGGGAAATTTGCATGCTGCATGAATTAATTTCGTAAGAAGTTATATAAACAAATCATGTTATATTGGCATGATACCGAATAAACAATGCAAATATGCATATGAGTTTTTATCAGTTATGATGCATGAAATTTAATAGTATGCCTAGATATTATATTTGCATGTTGTTATATCTTATTAATTGATAGGAGGAATGGGAAACATGCATGATAATAAATAAGTAAATAAATATATGTTTGAACATAATAAAATATTTACATATAAAATATTTACATTATAGATCAATAATATATATATAGATAATTATATTTAATCAGAAAATTTATATATATATATATA